ATCAGTTGGTTAGCCACTTCTTGCCCCTTTTGCGGATAGCATCTTTGTGTAAAGCAGTTCGGCAAGTGCTACACGCCTGCATGGCGGCACCGTTTTAGCGCACCTATGTATGTATGTATGTACGCCAACATTTTCTGATGAAAGTGAAATTGATGACACAAAAAGTTAAGCAAAAGCCAACAGAGGAAGATGAGGAAAAATCTGTTGATATGTACATTTGTATTTATGCAAGTCAGTGAAGTAATAAGAAAGGTATGTATCTTTTAAAGTCGCTCAACAACCAAAGGAGTGGAGTAGCCAAGCAACTGGTGCTGACTTTGTTGACAATTGCCGTGAAAGATGTATGTACGTATATTGCTGTCGCGGCGACCAACTACAAAACACATTGGCAACAGCAAAAAAAAAAAAAAAACGACTGCGCAAAGTTAGGTAATCTTTATTGGTGTCATAGTTAAGAAAGCAGATGAAGAGTAGGAAGAACGTATGTAGTAGTTGGCTCTGCGCTTGGTCAATGGCGTATGGGCAAATTGTTGAGGTCTCCTGCACTCTTGTTGCTGCTGTGGTTGTTACGACCGCCGCACAGTGGTCCGAAACGGTAATCTAGAGGGACAACATCATTTAACGAATTCCATTTGCGTGAATTTTATACAATTACAAAATTATATAAAATGTTAAAAATTGAAAATGGTGGATCTAATATATTTTTAAAAATATTTTTTATTTTTGTGAAATTCAATATTTTTTGGTTGGCTAGTGCGGCTTTTTTTCACAATTAAAATTACGAGTATCAATTTAAAAATGTATGTATATAAATATAAATATATAAAGGAGATAATGCTTTCCGCAAAATAGAACCTGTCAACAAAAATCTCAAATCGTTATATGGGGGGCGGACGTAGGTGGACTCAAAGTTTATAAAACAATAAAAAATTATAATACAATAACTTTCATAGACAAAAAATAGTAGCACTTTACAAAGATGATTTTTTCAACAAAATTTCTTGCATTCAAAAAGTTAAAGTTTAAATTAATATTGATACGGAAAAAACTAAACCAATTGACATTTCTTAGAGAAATATGAAGCACTTACCTGAATTTGATGCTTCAATAGCTTGTTACAATTTTTACGTCACAAGCAAACAAAAAGAACTTGTGTACTCACTATAGCGCATATATGTTTTTTTTTTTTAACAAAAGAAAAGCGTTTTTTTTGCATCAACCAAAGTGTTATAGAATCGAAAGAAAAAAAAAAATTTGAATTTGACACTTCACTTTGAATTTGTTGAATTTTCATAATTTTTTTACGAAGTTTGAAATATGGATTTATGAGGCGCTAGTTAGGTGAATTGTTAAACTTTTATAAAAAAATATAAACATTAATTAAACAAAAAAAAATAGCCAAAACTAGTCAAAATGTTGCTTGTCTTAATCAGCTGACCACAAGTGTCTGTAATTTCTTGCTACATGGTGATTCTACATAAATATCAATTTTGGCCATTTTAACTTTTGTAGTTATTGAAAAATCTCATAATTTGCATTTCAGAAAATACGACAGTTGGTGGGACAGTTCGTCAAAAAGACCAAGTTTTTGTACAAAGCCTCGCCTTGTCTTAAACCGTACTTTGGGCAAAATTTCAACAATCTATCGTCAAAAGTTTTCGAATTACCGAATTAAAAGCAGATAAATGGGCCAACTCTTACACTGTGCGCCGTTGGATACATGTTAACTGCTAATGCATGACAATTGCGATTCCGTCAGTGAAAAATAAAATAAAATTCGTTGAAAAACGCAAATATGTACTCGTAGTACCTAAGCCAAAAAAAGTTTAACTTGCGCATTTCAAAGTCAACAAATCAGAGTTGCTGTTGACTCAGGCATTCACACGGCGTTGTTTAAAGCAAATAATTTTTGTCAGTTTGACGATCCACCCATTAGATATGCACGTGAATGAAAAGCCTAAGCACACCGTGCCCAGGGCAGGGCGAAGCGCCAATGCAATGCGTACAAGCGCAAACGTTGAGTAATTGCGACCCGTTTCCGCCAAGTACATACATACATACATACATATGCGCATAATATATACGTATTGATATAGACAAAAGGTATGCATAATACTTAGACGCACACGCACACGCACCCGTGTCATTCGCTTGGTTTATAACTTTCACTGGCAATGAAAACCTATAAAATTCGGGAAGCGATTCACAACGGCGGCATTTTTAATTGTGCCAATACGAATAGGCGGGTGGACTTTCGCGATTATTTTTGTTTCTGTTGAGTGCAATATTTTGTCTTGATCTGGTTTGCTGCGGTACTGCCAATCTGCGTGTAGCTCTTCGATCGAGCCGTTTTTAAATCGAAGATCGATTAAACGAGCCCATCCGATTCGATTTTATGTCGATTTTTTAGTTGCGATCCAAAAAAACTCGAGAATCGATTTTCGATTTTTTCCCAAGTTATGCATATTGATATTCTGTTTGCCCCAGAAAATCTAGAAAATTTTAAAGAAATTTGGATTTTAAGTTGGTAGAAAAGATGAAGGTGGCTTGGCACCTCCAAACCAAACGAAAGTAGGGAAAAGAATTTATGAAGTTTCTGTTGAATTCTCTTATCGTTGTATCAATATAGAAAAATCTCCTCTCACATTTTTGTTTAATATTTTCAGAAGTATTAACAGATTGTTAGTTACCTGTATCCCGTTTCTGTAACTAACGAATAATTTGCTATCGCTAGGCTCGTATCGATATCAATATGAGAAGTGCTTCGGTAACACAAGAAATCCACCTTGCGATATGATTGTTAACATATCGATGATACGACCATATGCAATTTTTAGCGTGAAATGGTTTTTTTTTACATTAAATAAAAGTATAAAGTTCTAATATTTATTACACTGTGCGACAAAAACCAAAAATTTTTAAAACACTCGAAAAAATCCATATATTCACAAAAATAGGAGCCAAATATAGTATAACTGCATTTTTAATTTTTCTCTCTGATGTCAGGATTTTTTTTAAAGGACTTGGAAATTTCCAGGATATGATTGAAAAAAAAAATTATTTAAAAGATTTGTTGCATTGAAAAGTAACATCATGAGCCGATACCCATTAAAAGGAAAAATTTTGTAGAATTAAAAAAAATTTAATTTTTTGTTGCACCAGGACGAATAAATGTTGAAAATGTCCTTTTAAACTTTATCCTTGAATATCCTCAGAATTGTCCTATAATCATTTTTGAAAAAAATATATGTCAAGAACAAATATGTGAACTACCACATCCACGAATTTCGTCCTTCTACCTTCATTAGATTTAGATACAAAAAATGTTACACTTCTCTTATAAGATATTGATAGTTACAATTTAAATAAATGAAGATACTGGAATCATAACACTGTACAACACTCCCCTGGGTATTGGACCAAACCAATTTTCTTTAAGAGATTGAGTCATAGGTAAAAAAAGTAACTTCTCCGTTTATCGAAGTTAGCCTCCGGAATCGATATATGGGCCTTTGAAGTTCGAAATAAAATCTTTGATAAAAAATTATTTTTTATTATTATATGTAAATAACTAAAAAACTAAAAATACAGTCGTAGATCGCCTTTTTCTCTTATTTAAATGGTTTATAACTTTTTTTTTGCAAACTTATATTACAGGTGCTATAAGGGGGCAAAGGTCGGGTCTTCGAAAAATTAAAAACCTATAAATTCAAACAATTTTGAACTGATTTTTAAAAAGTTGGCTTCATTGTAAACGTGATTAGACTAAATATCTTCTTCTCTTCTGATATGAATAAATGTTTGTACACTTTGTATGTAAAAATTTGAGAAAAAAATTTAAAAGGAAAAAATAAATTTTTTTATAAAAAAAATATTTTAAACAAAAAAATTACTAATGCATATTTAAAGAGTTGATATCATTGTAAATGCAAGGAAACCTTCTTTCTTCCTATATGCGTATTTGTATACTTCGTATATAAAAATTTGGGAAGGAATACTTAAAATTAAATAATAGCGTTTTTAAAAAAAAAAAAAATACTAACAGATTTTTAAAAATTTGGTATCGTTGTAAAGGCGATTGAACCCCTTGAAAGCAAAAAGTGCCTTTTTTATAAAGAAAAATATTTTAAACAAAAAAAATTACTAACCGATTTTTAAAAAAATGGTATCGTTGTAAAGGCTACCAGAAAACTTATACTTGCTTAAACCCAAAATTTCGTTTTATATACACAAAAAAAATTTAATTTAAAACATTTTTACCCTCTATATAAACTCCTACCCCTTAGATGAAAGGCTGGCTACGCCCTTGTATACAAAAAAATTGAAGTATTTAAACCGTAGGTATATCGTACGGTCAGAGGACCACGTCAACCGATTTCGATAATTTTTTTTTTGTTTTATAATTTTTAACTTTTGCATCGGAGAGGTAGTATCTCAGAGGTGGTCCCAAACTAATCCCGTTTAGATCCGATCATTGGATCATGAGATATATATGTATATATATAGTTTTTTAATATGAGAATTGAAGTCGTTTTTTTTGCTAAACGGTGTTATAAATCCGTAATTTTTTACACATATTAAGACTAGTTAAAAAGTAAGAGCAAATATATCCATATTTATGCACACATATAAATACATGTATATTAGGGTGATTGATTCGATTTCGATTCGATTCAAACCGGTTTCTATCGGTTTATTTGGATATCTATAGGCGGTTTTTTGAAATCTTGACTTTTCGAATATGGAATAAACCGGATTTTTTTTATCGAACAAACCTGTTTTTTCATTTCATACAAATCTTCGCCTCTTAATAAAAATTTCGAGTGTTTCGAAGTTTTCAAGGCGCAATATTCTTACCGAGTTTGGTGGGGGTTTGTAAAGCGGATACTCGGATACAGCATTTCACATAAGTGGGCGGACTGTGTCCATTTTCCAAGCATTTCATAATTACAGTAAACATGTAAATACATAAATTTATTCATGCTAAAATTCATTTCAGTTATGTGTTACAGCTTTAGATGATACAAGTTAATACCATTGCTTTAATCAGCGAATATAATGATTAATTAAATACTTGCGCAAACATTGTTAAAAAAAGGTAATTGTGTACTGTGGTGAGCTTATGTAAATGCCAGTGTAATCGTTGGGAAATCGCCTGATCAAAAATATACGCTTTTACAAAAAAGGTTTACCATAAAAAGCAGCGTCATAAGGACGAGCATAAGGTCGCGTGCTTCGATAGCTATTGCCGCCGATGCTGTCTGTCGCCACTGCTGCTGCCACCACATGCGCCATATCCTTGGCGCTATTTACTGGTATATATTTGCTGGGCTTGTTGTTTGCATGCTTTACAGCCAATATGCTGTGGCTGCCACTTAGCGATAAATCACTCCAACCACCAACGACGTCACCACCTGCATTTCCCCTTTGATATGTTTTCGTCAGTGGTAATGGTAAATGTACAATCTCGAAATGTGTTCGCTCCTTGACGCCGCCATTGTAGCCACTGCCGTCCTCGGAGCCGGAAAATAGCCATTTAAGCACAAATAGTCCAGCAGTTGCCAATGCAATTTTACTCATCACAAATGACGATGTTGAGAGCGCGGTTAACGTTTTCAGAACGAGCGGCAGCATGATGAACTTTACAATTAAAACACCAATCAGCAACGGCTGCAGGTACTTCAACATTTTGCGTCGCTTATACTTGCCACGACCTGTGTAATGATGCAGAAGAAGAAGAGAGAGAGAGAGAGGTTATTTCAACAGTGTATTATAGAATGTAAGTGTGGACTTAATAATATGAACTGTGAATTAAAATGCAAATATGCTCTCTGTGCGTTAAGTCCGGTGAAATAAAGTTTACATGTCAGGATTTCAGATTTTTAATAATAATAATTTAAGACAGCATGTCGGAAAAATAATTGCGTTTACGGACACAGAGAGTAAAAGTAGTATGTCAGGGTTGCTTTAGGAAGAAAATAAAATAAAATTAGTTAGCTTAATAGTTAGCAGACTTTAAAGCATTATTTTACTTTAATTTTTCAGTTGATTATTCAATTGAATTTGGAAAAGCATCACGATTTTAGCAACTAAAAATTCTGAAAACTCTGCAGTTATTCGTTATTCGCAAAAAGGAGCCAATCGGAAGAAACGAATCCGGAATCACCGTTCTTACAAGTTTTTAGTAGCTCGCACTTGCCATTGTTTTTTTTTTTGTAATTTTTTGTTTGCGCATTTTCTTCCATTCAAAGTATGTTCGACAATAAGGAAATGAGCAACCAAAAATCACAGTAAGTCCTAGCTACTTTAAATTAGCACTTAAATTGCGCTACTAAAATTGAATGGGCCAAAAAACTGCATACTCAGAATGTTTCTAAGAATATCTAGATAGAATAGAAATTAGCCAATTTTCGGCGAGGCCTATTGTGCCTTAGGAAAAAAATCCGCCACTGGATACGGCGCACACTGGGATAATTGATATCGTTATTGGAGATTAATTCCAGAAATTTCACAATTTTAAACGGAAGTTTCTTAAATTTTACTTTAAGTTCCAACCAACCGAAAAACAAAGAAGCTGTTTTGTCGAAAGTCCACCGATATGTACAAATGAGTACTTAGTACAAACCTTCGCTAAATTCTACTGCAGAAGTCTCCAACGCTGCAGCTTCCGCGCGAATCGCTTTCGGTTTTACACTTTCTCGTTGATAAGCTGACACATTTGCCTGCTGTGGCGAATCCTTTTCCGCATTTTTATTATCCACTTCTATTTGTGCAGAATTTGTTGCCATGACTGCGGCCACAGCTGCAGCCTTGCTCTCTTTTTCAGCAAGCGAAAGAGGATTTGCACTGACAGTGGTCAGCAGCAAACAGTGACCGCAGGTTAAACCGCAAATGAACAAAAACACGCTGCACATCGCTATTTTTTGGCGGCGCAAATGCAATAAGTTTTATATATGTATTTAACTAAAAATATCCGATTAAATAGAAGAGAACGTAAAAGCGCAAAATATCCAACCACAATTTTAAAACCGTTGAGTACTTGAGCATAATTCTAACTGAAAATGGAAATGCACTTGCCACTTCAGTTTGTAGTAAATAGCTAGCAGCAGTTGCTGCATGTAAAAGTTACAATTGCAATGAAAAGTTGTGCATCCATACTTGGTGATGTGTGATGTGCGATGTGGGCGAGGAGGAGGCGATCAATGCGCTTTTGTATGAACATTTTAAATTAAAACGCTTCGTTGCGCGCAGACTAAGTACCGTAAAACTATGAAATTCAGTTTTCAGGTTGATTGTCAGAATGTGGCAGCTGGCTACTGAGTGGCTTGTGGTTGCATTACTGGTGTTGAGCGCGTGCTGCTGCCACATTTCAGCTGCAATTGCCGCTGCTGATTCTATGGAAAGTATTTCATTATCCATTAAATTGGCTGCTTAGCTGTTTAGTTGTTGTATCCAAAAGCGTTAAATTATGAATAAGAGCACTTAACTTGTAAGTTTATACATATTTATATGTATGTTGCATTTGAATAAAACAGCTTAAGTGCCTTAAGTAGGTTTGAATTTGGATTAAAAAAAGAGTTCCCTTCAAAATATTTGTTTTTGTTAAGCTTCTATTGAAAGGGCATTTTAAACTATACATATGGCTAGCTAATCGTTACAATTGTGTTTGAAAACCCAATGAAATATTGCTTTAAAGAGAAAATTGCCTAACTCGAGATAAGTTGTTTTATCAAAATGCCACCGATATACAACATATTTTTGATACGAGTACATATTGTATATTGTATGGTAGTGGTATGCACACATAAATATCTGCCTACATACATTCTTGAATTCCAATTTCATCTATTTTCTGTATTCGTTTCAATTTTGCTGCGCTGACTTCATCAATTTGCACACTCAAAAAAAAAAACCAAACAATTTTGAATGAAAAGTGCGGTAATTGTGCCTCAATTGAGTTACAGCCATCAGCATTTTGCCAACCCAGATGGCGGTTGGTTCTAGGTCACATGGAAAGCCAAAATGAAATGGAATTCGTTAACTTTGTTTGAAGCCACTAACGAGTTGACATCAATGTCACTCACCCAATCACTCACTAAATCGGTGAACCAATTCGTTGGGGAGGCTGTTTGAAAAAATTCCCCGAAAGGTAAAAGGCGCTTAAAAACCGTTTAAGTACTGGCAAAAACTATGCACTAGGGTGATTGACTCTATTTTTCCAAACCATTTTCAATCGGCTTTTTTTAGTATTGGCTCGATTTTTTTTAACTTTAATTTTTTGAATAACGAGTAAACCGGATTTTTAAAATCGAATAAACCAGGTCTTCACCTAGTTTATTTATATGTCAGAATCTAAAAGCTCTAAATATTTATTTTAAGAACATTTATCGGCAAGCTTAGGAAAAGGCCAGATTCAGGGCCATAGAGAGAGGCATGTTAAATGAGCTTATGTGACTAGACATATAAAAAGGTGGTTATTTAGTGTTGTCGGAGAATCTTATTCAAATTGGGCAGAAGAGTTTAACTAGCTACAATATCCAGAATGGAGTGGTGTCTTATTAACGCGAGCCTCATGAAGCATCTCGAGCTCTTCGTCTACGATAAGTGAGGTTGGTCTCCGATGATAGAATTGAAGACGGTGTTGATTGATTATCGATGAATGTCCCGTCTATAATATATATATATATATATATATATATATATATACATATATAGTCGGTCTTGTTCAGTGGATGGTTATACATGCTCGAGTTTCCCGACAAAGGAAGGTTAAGAGCGGTGAAACCTATAAAGTGAGAAATTTTAACTATTTTTTTCTGTTTTACTTTTATTCCTAAATACTCCGAACTTATTTTGCTTTAACTATTCCTAAAATAAAGTGATATGCACGTATTTTTGGCAGTCTTATCTTTTGTAATTCTGGTCATGATTTCGGACTAACAATAAGTATTACTTAAGAGAAAATCTGACTTATCCTGAGTTTCGCCTGAAAAAAATTCACCCCAAAATTAGTCATCCGCCCATGGTAAAACAATGGAAACCAAAAGTGAAAAGTGAACCGGTTCGGGGAAAATGAAACTCATGATAAGGCTGAATATGTTTTTTTCTTAATTAGAAAATGGGGAAGCATGTTTTTTTCAAATTGCAATTTTCCGAATAACTCGAATACCCTAGTGTGTACATAGGCAGTTAATATGCTTGAAATGTGGAATGAATTTACTGAGTATTTTTCTTAAAGATTTGTGGCGTATTAAGTAAACAAATTGGTGAATTAAAAAAAAAAGAAAATCCCATCTTCTTTGAATTGCTGAATGAGTGTTGCAGCCACAAAGTGAAAACTTTCAGTTTTGTTTAATCTGTCAAACTTAATGGAAATTTTAATTCATATACTAATTTTCTTGCCCTTTTTACAATAGAACGAAGGTTTTAAACAAATGTTTTACTTTAAAATTGTATAACTTAATATCTTCATAAGTAACTAGGCACATGTCACTCGTTTTCTGGGAGGACGTCACATAACAAAAAAAAAACATTATTAAAAAGTAAATATTCGGCCCTATTATGGTAGTCGCCGTCGATGTCCTTCTTCTCGCTACGCTGGCCACAGAATTTTTGAGGAAGGATGTTCCTGGGATATCTTTTTATGAAAAAATTACATCGAAATCGACAACCATAATTGGGCCGTTTATTTCGCCAAAATTATAATAAAAAAAATTTGTTAGATTCGTAAGCTGTGAGCGCCAGGAGTACTTTTATTCCTTTTAAGATAATTGTTCCATTGCACTAACTGTACTATGTTAAATTGGTGAAAAAGTGCAATGGTTAATTCGGTATAACTGGAGATAGAAAATTCGGAATCGATCCCCACTTTTTATCATTACAAGAGCTTCTGCAAGAAGCGTTTTCCGATGAACGCCATTTGTTCAATAGCACAGTCATCGTCGCAGGCATAATGAAATTTAGAGGGGGCTGGGGCCTCGAAACTATGAGGTAATCTAACATTTCAGGGAAACATTTTTTATATATATATAGGGAAAACTTTAAAGTTTCTCCTACCTAGCTACAACCATAGGCGCATCTGCCCATTATGTCTTTTGATACGGTTTCTTCATAAACAAATTTTTAATCTATAATAGAAGTGTATAATTTTAGTAAAATAAATAAAATAATTTGCGAATAAGTTAGTGGAATAATGAATTTTCAAGTTGACACTTTTCGCAATATTGAATCTGACGCTTCACCAAAATCGCAAATGTCCCTCTGGATTATCGTTTCGGAACACTGTGTGCCGCCCATACAACAGGACAATGTTTGAAAATAAATTGCTTAACGAAAACATTTCAGATTTGATTGAAAATAGATGCATATATTAAACCAAAGCAATAAAGATATTATTCTTCTTAAAATTATGAAATTGTTATTTTGAATTTAAAATAAGATAATATGAGAACACAATATCGGTTAAAAAGCGCTGATACTTTCTGGAGAAACGGCTAAAAATCGACTAAAATTTTGAACTGTTTTTTTTCCGGCTAAAATAAATTCAATCTGGATAAATATAACCGGAAAATGGCTTAACTGACAAAACTGCTGTTTGCTTGCAGCGATTGGAGATGGGGATAGAAAAACAACATAAAAAAATTACTTGGGCCATAAAATCCTCCTACGAGATACATATGTATGTACACAGCATGAAAGTTTCGAAATCTA